CCGGTCAATATGACAGCTTGAGCTCTAGTCCACGTGTGGCCAAGAAATTATGTAGAATGGGTCACTTGTAACTCCGGTAATGAAGTTAGTTGAATACAGAATAAGGAAGTGCTAGACCAAGCTATCAGGCTTAGGACCGTGATGATGAATTTGACCGAAAGTGTGCAGAGAGTTATGTTACCGCCGAACTTACAATTTTTTAACTACACCGACAAAGCCTGACCCATTTACTAGGACATTCGAAACACCGATGGACGTATACGGCTGGTCGCACACTAGCGTTGCTCCGAAGTGCTCAAGGAATCTGCGAAGCTCAGTCGAATTCAGTTCGAATACGCTATGGGTAACACAAAGGTGGGGCAAAACCCATCTATTGGACCGGTTTCCACGAGAAGCATCACCTCACGCAGTCGAGCATTATGTGCGCTTCTGACAAAATGTTGGGAACCTTCACTCGTATTCACATAGAAGCGGTTTCTTGGGTCAATGGACTGGGGTTGCGGAAGCCGACTAGAAACTGCGCCAGTGTGACGACTTGTGAACTGCCTTACTACAACGTTGCTGCGTAATTTCACGGTCTTTGTGAAGTTTATGCACGCGAGTGCCGGATGCACATATAAACAACTGAAAGTCAGCTAGCGTGCCTAAAGCAGGTCAAGCTTCCGCGTCCGATATAGGGTGTGCGTGTGCGAAATCGTTTTCAGGCAAAGTATCTTAGCGGTACCAGCATCTTTTGTACATGCACGGCATGAAATAAAGGACTTATAAATACAAAGCTTTGGATGGGGCCCGCCATTGAGTTGGGAAGCTCTGAGGTGACGAATGTCAAAAGAGCACTCCTTGCGGACCCTCGTCTGACGTACTTACATAAGTACTTTACATAAAAGTAGACGTTTTTGGTTACATATTCGTTAACGGGCCTCTGTGTTAAACCGAAAGGGACGCAGCGCTAGTGCAGATCGCACGCACACAGGTTGAAGCCGTGACTATGTCGTAGAACTCCGAGAAGATGGCTGGACACGCCGGAAAACTACAACGAATACCAAAATGCCTCTATATCGGCCGCAGCATTTACCTATAGGTTAGGAAAGTCATAGCTAGGTACATCGTCACTACAATACAAAGCTTCAGTTAAGATTTTTCACGTTTCTCCGCGATGTTTTCATGATGTCAGGAAATGAAAGAACTGCGCGTGCAAAAAGTATGTTGTTGTGCGAATAGCTATATCCACATTCGTTTATATGGTCTTCGAAGAACTTGTATTTTCTATAAAACTGTCACAAACGCATTTGCTTGTGAGTATTACGCTAGCATATGTAAGTACCAATATCCGAACTCGAGTCCACATGGGTCGAAGCGTATCTTGTACTGTTACACTCAATACACTTGATCTGTGTAATGCAGGGATTATATAGACTGAGCAAAAGCTACATAAATTTGTGTAGATGGTCAAGTTGGGTGTCTCAGACATGAACCGATTAAGAACATGGAACTGAAAGAACTATCAGTTTTGTTCAAAAAGCCTATACAGAAATTAAGGACATAAAGCATTGTCTGCCAAGCGATGATACCGCTAATAACAATTAGATCATTATTATAGACGTAAATGAATGCCGCAAACATGATTGCGCAATTGTGATCGAATATTACTCAGGTGACTCGTTTAAGCGTAACATTCTTCTAGCGTTTATATTCTATTACCAGCACTTGGTTGAAAAACTGGCTTATTCCCACCTCCTAATAGCTCCTTTTCATTTGTGTAAACACCCACTTCACGACCTTTTTCCGATACGGTGCTATGGGGATATGGCTAAAAGAACACGATGTTCGTGACGATCCCATGGGAAAAATGAGCAAAAGACTTTTGGCACAGGCATGTTCGTACTGTTTTCAGGGAGCAGTAACGATTGGGCACTAACGTTGCGTTTGTGTTAGACTAACCGGCGCTAAGGCCGGGGGCCGTTATGCCTATGCACATGTCTGGTTTTCTTAAATATTCTTTAAGTGCCTGTCTGAGGCGCTGTTGCCCACTCGAGTCAAGTAGATAGACAGCGGCAAAACATCTCCCTTACCGTGCAAATACTCTTCCTTTCGTGTTGGCGTAACTCTGAGGATGATTCCACTCGAGCGAACGAAATCGGCGAAGACGGAGCCGAAAAGGACGATAATAACGACAACGAAACCCGCTTAATCCTACCTCTCGGAAGGAGAGCTAATAGCCGAGCAGTGTGAGCCGTCGCTGTTTAACGACAACCGTTGCCGTCGAGCTCGAGTTGACGAAAACGAACGGCACACAGTTAGCGCATCGCTTCGCTTGCAGCGAAAGTCCCCCACAGGGGCCGAAATTGAAGTGTGTTCAACCTGCTTTCATAAAGAACTCCGCCCGACGGGACTAGAACGAGGTTGTGACAAGACAGTGGCAAGAAACGGGACATATGATAGCTACTGCAGTAGCACTCACTATTCGATAACAATGAACCACATAACAGAACATATAATGGGGTCGCAACTGCTGTCTTTTCTGCCGTTTATCCAAACTATCCCCTCAGGATGATTGGAAAGGGCAAGATCACTTTTCGCCGACTTTAAGTTCCATGAACGCATAGAATGTCTCTTTTCAACGCCATCTTTGCTCCGTGCTGAGCACAGGCTCGAAGTGCTCGCAGACTCGGGAGTACATCTGCGACTGCAAGACTGCGTCGGAAACCTAGGATGAAGGACGTGACCTATGTTTTATGGTGGAGTAACTAACTGCGCTGTTGTTGTGTGCTTCCTGCATGTGAGCGCCGTTTTCTATCGATTGAGACTTTGCAAGTCTGGTACTAGGAATGGCAGTCTGCCAATTATTTATAGATTGGGAATTAAGTATAATTTTGAAATATTAAAAGTAATATATGCAGCCGGCATTTCTTACTCTGAACATTTACGTTGCAGACATTAAACTTCAAATGAATAAAGGCAAGGTAAAAGTTGTAAAGTTTAAAAGAGGAGGGCTTTACGAGACTGGCTAGTTTCACTTAGACGATAGAAGCCTCGAAACAGGTAATTTCTTTGGATTTCGAATGAATGATAACGACAGCACCAAGTGTTTCACTGTCGTAACGCACTGAAGGTAAGGTTGGGAAAACAAAAGATCAGGCAGCCACAACCCAACAGCTTTTTCAACAGAGAGGGGTGTTTAAGGCAAGAACATTTATAGAAGGTGGTGTTCCTATGTTAATAACACAGTTGATAAGTATGAAGAAAAAATCTTAAAATAGAGAATATTTGTATTACTTAATTAGATTAGATTCATTTAAACTATGAGTATAAAATAGTACACGGTAAAAGTTTGCTTGAAAATACACCTGACACTGATGAGTATTAATAAGGCTCCTGATTCACTTTAGAAACTTCCTCTTAGATAACCCCCGATGATGAGCCTTAAGTGACAAACTGAGGAATACGCAGTTGATAATTTGGTAGCAACCAATAATAGTTAAGCTTTCTAGCAAGGAGGTATTAAGAATTTGGTATACCGCGAAGGGGGCTCGAGTTAGGGGGCAAGACAGTTAATCAACGTTCGTGGAAGGAGCCCGCCAAGCGTTTGGCTCTGGCCATTATATATCTATATGTATACTTGCATCTCCCGTTTTTCAGAACAGCCGGGACAGCCATCAGCAAATGAGTGAGTTGAATGAATAGGCACAATGTCACTACGCTTGCAGTCTATTGATTCTATCATCTAATGTGGAAACGAATATATTGTGAATTGAATGAATGCTACACGTCCTTAGAGCAAGAATGACACGCGGGCCGACCTGACAAACCTGGATCAATGAACTAATTCGTAAATTTAATTACACAGCCTCACGAGAAGCTAGCTTACTGATTTCTTCTAAAAGTTATCACTATATACATTGGCATTTACTACTGTGTTTGTTATGGCTTCATTACGACATGTGAACAAACCATTGCTTCCGTCATAGGACAATGACGGATTTTGCACTTTTACTATTAAATTTCATAAACTAGCTCTGCCTGAATTAATTTTAGTTGAACTATATTAGGCGCCGGTGCATGTATTACTAGCACTTTCACATGCCTATACCAATAGTACGTCACTAGAAGAAAGAAGGACCAACTCTATCTGGGATCACAGTACACTTTCTCTCTAAATCCTAAGCATAAAATATATAACAATTCAGTGCCGAGCGATCCGTTCGTAGGCTAAATAGCGCAGATTGTCAACAGGCTACAATAGCTGACACGTATAAAAGAGCTCTTCGAATTACCTTTAAAAGTCTAATTAACAAGTCGTATCCTAGATAACATTTGGGTCAGCGTTTGCCTCGTAGGGCATCTTTTCTTCTTTCCCAAAGCGATAGTGATCATATCAGGCTGTAATCTATCCTGCTATCATCACATCGTGCTGACGAGCTCAATTAGAGAAAGACACCAAACGCTAAAGCTGTAAGGCTTAACTTAATTAATCCTAGCTGAAATAGGTGTCCTCCATTCCAAGATTTCGAATTTAGGCGCCACAGTTCTTTAAGCCACGATATAGCCCCTGAGGACAGCGTCCACACACTACGATATGAACCATCGAAGAAAAAAGTTGACAATTTTTTTGGGTGATATCTGTTTGAAATACGCCCAAGCTAACACCGAAGTGACATGTTTATATAGCGATTCATTAGTTGTTTTTACCGATTGTATTTACAACAGTCTGAGAAAAAAGTACACTTCTAGATGAATATCGGCGATTTTTTCATTGCATATAGACAATTAGAAATAACTATATAAGAAATTGCCATTTCATTATCCTACGGCAATGGACAAGCCACAAAACCAGGCATTGCGCCTTGGCCTGCTGTGCGTTTATTATTGTGCTTAGTTTATTTTATTTCATTTTTTTTAAATTATACCAATCGATGGAACGTAAAAAAGGTTATTCGATATTACGTCTGTTTTCTGTAGACGTATCCTTAATTCAGCAACAAAAACCTCCCGATCCACCGTGCAAATCTGCAAAGACGCATTATGAAGAATCAGAAACGAAACAATAAATAGGACGTAGAACGTACGTTTGAGCCTTTAAAGACCTTTTAGTCTTGGTTTTCTTTGTCTATTTTTTTCTACTTCCTTTAGCAGCTACTAATGGAAAGGTACTATAGGCATGCATAGGGTTCAGTGCTTCCTAGAAATAGGTTGTGGTGTATCCGAGCATAGACAGATTTCGTTTCGTGCTAGCAGCCAGTGAGCCAGTCGTCCGTCTGATGGAACGGCTAACGATTAACCGGACACTAAGCTCAAAACATAGAAAGGCAATAGCAACTCAGAAAAGGTTACAGGTAAATAACGAAAACGGCCTTCTATTGTCCGATATTAGATAATGTTACCGCCCGAACGTGTTGTGGTCTTGGTAAGGCCAGGTTCAATACGGTATCTAACGAGGGACGACGGCGTAGCGCAGGTGATCTATTCATACACTACAAGCTTTGTATACTTTCTCTGCAGTAGATATTTCAGCAGATGGGCAGATCTCGGCACGAGAACCGCCGCTGACCTGGTGAAGACCGAGTGCAGTTTAATAGTGCATATATGAGTAACAGGACATCACTAAGAACGGCCGAAGTTTTCATTTGTTGGATGCAAAATTTTTGTTGGTTTCACAGTCCTAAAAATACAGGGTTTGAACAAGATACGGAAAAGCACCGTCCTCGGTAAGGATCTAGTTGTTTTTAGTGACGTCTACTGGAGACAATTAAGCGGACTGATTTACGGGCTACTGTATAAATCAACAAAACAGCTACTAATAATATTCTTCCAGCAATGCAGTGGTCAATACTGACATTGAACTGTACTTCGCTTTAATTGCCGTCAAATCCGTCTTAAAAAACACATAACATTGCCTCATTTTCCATTAAACTTTACCGATAACACCGGCTATTCTGAATCATCTAACACAGTAAGCTATGAGCCGAAAAAACCATTTCCCTTAAATGTACGCCCTTTTCCTTTCACCGACACAGCGTGGGCCTACCGTTACGGCCTGTATTCTCAGATCCCCACGACCTGAAGCGAAGGGCTGTTTTTTTCTGAGAGCACGTTGTTAAACAGTGGCGGTATCAGGAGAAAGGGCAGAGTACAGTCCCAATAATCCGATTTCTTACAGTGGGGTTAGGGAAGCTCAAGGTAGCTAGATTACAGAGGGGGGAAAACGCACTCCATTGGTTCAATCGCTCGCGACCAGTTACCAAGTGCTCTATTGGCTCTGGATCTGACCGACTGGTCTTTGCCTTTATTTCTGCCTCTACTCCTGTCAAGGCTAAGTCTGCTTGTGCGTTGAGAGAATCCTCGTGTGTCAACAAATTCGTATGCAAGCGTTTGCACATGTACTGTTTACCCCCGTCCTGAGCACCCCTTGTGCTGGTTGTGCGACTAGCAAACTGCTACGGACTAAGGTGACTATCCTAGCGACTACTGCCTAACTCTACGTAACTGTGCCGGGGATTAACCCTTGTCGGAACAAGAGTCCGCTTGTTTTGTACTGCGAATATCTGTCTGTCGAAAGTCCTGCTTATTCTCTCTTTCCTTTCTTGAACGAACTAAGCTTCATGAGAGTTCTGCAAACATCTGTGCAGAGCGCAGCAATGGTCTAGGTTAAAGCGGGCAGGCATGCGAGGTGGCAGGAAGCAGGCATGGATGTCGTATCGTATGCAAGGACTCCCGACCCTGTTATTCCCTGAGCTCCTACAAACTCGCACCTTTCACCATTCTCTGCCAGCCTGTTCTACTGTAGTTGAGCATCCCGGCGCACACCGCCATCAACTGCCCTCTCCGGACGTAAAGCTTGAAACATTTAATTCCCCTCTCCGCTACTGGGCGGGTTACTTTCACTGGCACCGGCAGCTGTGGAGTGGACCGGAGTCGCGCACGCCCAATACGGTCTGTCTGCCGCATGCGCCTGATTGTGGTGCGACAGGAGCCGCAGTCACCGCCGCCGCCGCCGCCGTTGACGACGACGTCGTCGTCATGCGAAATGGCGGCAGCCGGCAACAGCAGCCAAGATCACCATATCATTGTCATCATCGTCGTAACCTCGTTGGTTGTAAGCCACGACTCCGACGATAACAACGGTGTCGGCGACTCTTCCTCTTCGTACTTCTTTTCCTTTCGCTGGGCCATAGATGCGGCCTGTATTGGGTTATGCTGCTGCTGCTGCTAGTAGTACCGCCGCTGCCGTCGACGCTGTTATTGTTGTTGTTACTATCAAGCAAGCGAACTCCATGGAGTACTACTAGGCTTCCTTTCCGGCCAGCCTCCTCGTAGCTTTGTCGTCTGCCAAGAGTCTCTGGTGCTGCTATTTAATAGTATAGCTCGAGTCGGTGTTGTTTACTCGTTTGATCGTCCGGTGGCCTTCTACTCCATGGGCCTATTTCTCGAAAAGAAAAAGGGAGAAAGTACCAATAACAGGGCGTTGCTGCTCATAACTGGAGACGCGTTATTTAGTACAGCAAATAGTACAGTAGCTGGTACGTAGCCACTGCCGAGCCAGCTGTCGGTCTGCGAGCTCGCTCCGTTACACGCGGCAAGATGGGTTCCCTCCTCCTTCCTTCTTTATTCAGCCACACTCCTGTGACGCCGATGGCAAACCGACGGATGGACAGACGAACCAGTGAACGGCTGCGGTGCAGGCGGTTACTCGCAGTCCAGCATACACACACACGCTCAGGCAGACGATTGCCAGGTTCACATAGAGAAAGCACTTATACTCACACCAGCATACGCGCACAGGCTGATAGTAGCCGACAACGCCACCGCCATCGCCGTCGTCGTCGTCGTCGCAGCGCAGGCTCCTAGCGTAGTGGAGTCCATACCGTTGGCTGTGCTCCGCTTCGGTATCAGCGGTAGTCAGTGGTGGCTAGACAGCAGACCCGGCTAGACGCAGAAAAAATACAGCCAGCCAGCCACCCAGCTACCCAGACAAGGCAAAACAGGTTTCTGGCCACCGCAGCGGCTGTTAGATCGCACTGCCGCTCACAGTCACCGTCACATCGAAGACGACGACCACCTGCACCCACACCGCCAACAAAATTGGAATATTGACCGCCAGCGCAACCGATTGATCGACAACAAGCACCGATTGTCGAACGTCGTAACGTCTCCTGTGAGCTGCGGGCCGCGCGCCACGCGCACGGAGACTGTCGTGCACTGGTGCACTCCCCTCTCCATATTTCTCTTTGGGGTGTCTGTGTGTGTGACTGTATCTGAGTGTGTGTGTGTGTGTGTGTGTGTCAGTGCGTGCGTGCATGTGTGTGTATGTGTAGCCAGAAGTGACCAACGAGAGATAAAGGAATAGAATAAAGCATTAAAAACTCTAGGGAAATAGTACGAGCGAATGCAGGAGAAACCGACTATACTAGAAAGTGATAGGAAGGAAGCTCCAGAAAGAAAGGGTTTTTTCTGTTTGTGGAATCGACTGACTGACCGGGACGTTTGCCATCCCTCAAAATGTTCTAAATTAGTCCTCAACGATGACCAGAAGAGCCGAGAAGAACAACGAACTTGACTGCCACCCGTACAATTCTGATCTGATACTGCGCATTGAGTAAACTAACTGAAACGTCGTTGGAAGCTAAATTGACACGGTTCTATTCAATTCCATGGGGCGTTTGGTCAGCTCTTGGTAACTTACAGCCCGACCGATGGTCGTGTGAACAAACAACAATCAAAAACAGTGATATTCTGCTTATTCCAACAGATATCAGATAGAAACAGAGGCATCGTTAACAGGGCTTCGCCTGCTACCGTCGCTGCTGCAGCGGGTGCCATTGCAGTTGCCCGGTTGGGGCAGAAGCGACGCTGTCATCTGGTGCCGCCTCGTGGGAGCCGCCATGTCGGTGTAGGTCTAGCCCCGTCTATGTTTATTTATACGCGCGGCGGTTATTGCCGCAGGAGTCTCCGGTACCAGCATGAACACCGGCTGTGCCACTCGTTCGAGAGATGATGACGCCATCGTGCAACTGCGACACCAGCCTGACGCGCGTCGACGACAACCGCGACTAGAGTGACCCCGTTAAGCCCACTACAGCGACGCCAGCGTGACCGCTCGTGCAAGAAATAGCATCATCAGAAGCACTGCCACCGTCAGCACCATCCACTAGAACTACAGAACTGCTGCGGATGTCAGGACGGTGACGACAACAAAAAAAAAAGAAGCGATAACTGGAATTGTCGCTGTTGTCGATCCATGACAACTATCACTACACAGTTCCCGCCTGCCTATTGCAGCCTTTGGAAGGGTCTACGGCCATTTCAACGATAGCAATAACTATCTGGGCTGATTCTACTGCCTGCGCACTTGAACGGGTGCCGCCGTGAACGCGGCTAGTGTTGTGACTATTGTCAGGCGAATATTATATCCTAGAGCAATGGACGAAAATCGGTATACGAGCCTCACTTAGCGCATTGGTTGTTGTTGTTTTTATTGTGAAGAACAGCGCCGCGGTACTTTATTTTTTTTTTGTTCGCCAATTGTCCCGCTCATCTTCGTTGTCGCCAAAGTTTCATTGCTGCCGGCGCTGTCGTTACTTCCTCCCTCGTTCTGGGGTGCTCTTCTCTCGCGCTGCCTTTCGAATTCTCCAGCACCACACGTATTAGTCGGTTGGAATTTGCCGTTGTCGCTCTCGTGGGCTTCATTGGGGCACCGTGTGGAGAGGAGAACTGGCGAAACTCCTGTGCGACTGGGACCGCCGCTCGAGCTGCTGCTGATCGTATGTATCTTGTGCTTCTGATTCGGACGCAGCTCATTGCCGCTGCTACGACCACTACCGCGGCGGTGGTTTCTGTGGCTCCGAGTTCGAGGCGCCGCTGCTGCTGCTGCTGTTGTTGCTGCTGCTGCTGCTGATGGTCGTCGCGGTGATGCTGAGAAGAGGAAAGTGCTGAGCAGCGGCGCCGGCGGCGGCGGCGGCGGCAGCAGCAGCACATCCACAGCGGAAGCAGCAAAAAAAGCAACAGCCATCAGAATTGTGACTGGAGAAAAAAGCAAAGTTGCGTCCGTTCATTTTCGAATCGAAGAGGGCCAGCACTCGCCTGGAGTTAGTTGCTGCAGATCGCTCCCAGCAGTATCAGTAGTGTGATCGGAGGCGCTGCTGCTGCCACTCTGATGAATATGGAGGCGGGTCAGTGAGTCGCGTTCGCCTCTGTTGTCACGATCGGTACGGTTTGGTGTTCTGCCCGCTAACACGCTGTGCTGATGCCCGCACCGGCTGCTGGACTTTCTATACCTTCTATTAGATCCATTGAGCCTGTCTCGTTAGAGCGAATAGCGTCGGTACAAGTTCTGCTGGTACTGCTCAGTGTTACAGCTGCTGCCTCTGTTACAGTATTGTATGTATTAGTAATCGTTTGGATTTGTCATCACCACAAAAACAGCCCGTGGATCGCGGTTCGTTACAGACGCCACAAGCAAGTGACCATCAGAATCGGCGACCGCGGCTTCGTCGTGAATATGACCACTGATCGTGTACCTCTATGTGTTTGCCATAGCTAATGATTTCCTTGAGGAGTACGATATAACAGTACGAGACTGTGGGGCGAGAAACGGAGCGGAGTCGAGCCCAGCCAAGGCAGGGGCATAACTTACTGCTGCTATCAGTAGCCGACGAATTCTCTCTTGCGTGGAAAAATGTCGCGGTCGTAGCGCCGTCAGTTTGCATAAGAATAAGCTAACTCAGGAATTGCTATACAAAAAATTGATCTACAAAGGTGAGCCAATAGGTGAGCTTCATTGTTACTGCACCTCGTTTCCTTAAGTTCGTACCCATTGAATGGCTGTGCCTTCTGATCCTTACAGTGGGCAGGTAGTGGGCAGCACAATCAGATGAAGTATACATCAACCGAAGTCGGAAAAGGCCATGCGTGATTGGATACGCGATGAAACTGTGAGAACTACGGCACATCTGTATTTTTCCTGCATCCGAGCGGCGGTCGCTGTTTGGAGCAGCGACTTCCAGCGGCAACTTCTAATCTGTTTGCCTTCTTGCGGACCCTCCAACAACTGGGCCTGTACTTCACCTTAGGTCAGAGTATCTGTGGTTTACGGTGCGTGAGCTGATACCCGAGGTTGTTCATGTTTATATATGTTATAGGTTCTTGGTGATGTGTTTTTTCCCTGATAAATGCGCTTGGTCAACTTGATACGACTCCGATTGGGTGTGTGAATCTTGTCACCAACACGCAGCAGCGTGTGTTAGCTGGAAGAACATCAACAATCACTTAGTAAGTCTTCTCTAGTGTCTGTGTGGGCAGATTGAGTGTCCATGGGATAGTAAATAGAACGCCTTTTTACGGGGGTAGACAACCCAGTGTTGTAGCCGTGGTAGGGTTCAGCACGTGAAACATTACCATAGTCAAACATTGGCCACTCTGCCACAAAACGAGAGATGGCGCTCGACGGTGTTGAACCTGACCAGATCGTACAGCTCGCCGAAATAGAGAAAGGTGAGTGACGAGCTAACCTGCATATATATATATATATATATATATATATATATATGTATGTATAAGCGAAGAAAACTTCTTTCCTTGTCCTTTTTTTTAGGTATACATCGTAGATAACCGGACAGAGTGGTTGGTTTGTCGAAATGCCTATATTACTTAGGTATTCATTCAATTTTGTGTAGACGTATGTTATTATATTTCTTTATTTTATGTGGGATTTCGAGTATACCTTCGTCTACCTATAGGAATGAACTGACGACAAGCCATTGTGAATTTAGACATGAACTGAATGCCCTGCTGCAATTTATACGCATCAAGAGCGGCTTATACTACACTAGAGTATATCGCTAACGGATGAGGTCGAATTGTACAAGGTGCGAACAGGCCCCGCGTCAGCCAACAAGGGATTCGGTTGGCCAAGGAAAAAGCCATCGTATTAGGGGCGGGCAACAGAGCGCCCATGAGGGTCCTAAGACGCGGTTCTACTGCCCCACACACACGTGCCCAATAGAGGCAGATATTCTGCAAGCTGTGGTGGCAGCGCATCGCAGTGGATCGGGCGTTTACGACGTCATTCGCTAGCGAGTAGCAGAATCTGTTCTGGCAGTGGCAGCGTCAAAAGCAGTAACGACAGCAGCTGTGGCATCAGTAGCAATATCCCACACAATAGTTGATAGACTGATTTGATCCTGCGTTACCTCCCAAGTCAGAGAACGATGGCGTATTTTTGATAGCTAGTAGAATGTTTATCGTAGATGCTGGACAGGTGCAGGAACAGGTATTTTTTTTTGTTTGATATCGTTGTTATATCTGTTCGTGTTGTTGCATCGACGGTACTTGGCCGTGCACACGTCCGCCAGCGCTTATGTGTAAACGGTGTATTTTTTGCGAGCATCCGTATACGACTCGGCTACATTGTCCAGCGTAACCCAGGTGGGCGTTACACAAAAAAGGTGAATCGAGGCCACTAATATGGAGTGGGGCGGTTGTCTGTATAATTGTGAAGATTAAAACGGTATTCGTTTTTTGATACAACGCATAAGTACACAGCCGCTGCTCTGTAACGCTAGTAGCAAATCTAAGTTGTTATTGATCGATCGAAGCACGATTACTATCTAATAATTAGTATAGTATGATATTACTAGTAGTTGGGTATTCCGATATGTTTCGGAAAACTGGAGTGTGTGTGCTTTATGTCGATAGGGTAGGGAAGCAACTGAGACTTAACAAATGTATTTCATAGCTTATGTGTGTACGGATGTAATTTCGACGTCGGCGTATATGCGGAGCATATCGCGCCGCAGCCGGCTGCCGTCAGACTCTGTGTGGGTACCGAGAGAAATGCTAGTAAGTTTGTCGTATGTTATACAACAGAATATTGTGCGGGTCATTGCACTAACGTGAATATATATATTTGGTAGACCAAGCTACTGACGTATCCGATACTGGTAAACTCTCATCTTTAAAGCATAGTGAGAACTTCGTGTTTCTAAAAAACTACCAAACAGTTTGGCATCAATGCACGGATCTTCACGAGAGAATCATGATCGTTATTTTTACTTACTTTGCCATCGTTCGTCATTTTCAGATTTCAAATATCGTGAAACGATTTGTCGACAGTACGTCCTTGCGTGCTACTTTTCTTTATTACAGTACGTTGGTCTTGAAGCGTCTTCGATTCTTGCCATTGGCAATGGCGGTGCAGCAGTGTTTGGTAGTTGCAACGATGGTAATTACGGAAGCGAATTAAAACTTGGCTCAGCTAATTTTACCTCGAAATGGTGTAAACTTGCATGTATTCTCGCTCGTTCATATAGATATGTTACAGTGGTGCAAACGTCATCCATGGAGAAGCTTGACATGTCTCACGGCAGCGGCGGTAATGGCGATCTGTTAGCCAGTATCGTCGCCGGAGTCTACGAAACCGCCGTCGCCATAGAGAACACGATGTTCCGTGTATGCACCTTATGTCTCTGTGTTACTTAATTCGTTCATTTTAGCTGACAGCTCCTCCGGGTTCCGTCGGCGGTCTACGTTGTCCATATATATTACAATGATGATACGACGATAAAGTGGGTCTAATTTGAGGTTAACTTGCCCATATACCTTTGTAGTTAGCAGGCAGTAGTTTGCGCTGCAGTAGTCCATTTAAATGTATGGTCCGCCTGCTCGTCCGTTCATTCTCTGCCGTGGAAGCGTTTGCTCTTGTTAGATGTTGAGCCACGCATATCTTATTGTGCAACAGTTACTGCGCGACCACCACTACGACTTATCGCGGTGAAAGCAGCAGCGGCGTTAGTCCCCACTAGGGCAAGCGATCTATTCAACGTCCGGAACGACACGTTGCAAACAAACGAGTGACACAACTTAGAACCAGTACGCTGGCCAGGGCCGTTTTCGAATATTCTACGCCATATGCCCAGTACAACCGGGCCTTCAGAGAACCCTGTCCGACCGTATGCGACTCTTCGGGCTGGTGCCGTTGTTGACTTTAGCCTAGCAGTTGGCTTTCTACGGCAAGAATGACATCGACCGACTCTGCACGCAGCATCAGTCACATTATTACGATCACGAGCAGCGACAAAAGCGACCGGTCCCATGCTCATTGATACTATCCACGTTGACGCCCGTACCGCCGCCAATGTACAATTCCAAATTGCAAGACGTATAACCTTGCTGACCGCCCACTTACTACCGCCTCCGAGGACGCTGCGGGAGCCACATCGTCAGTAACTTGGTCTTGACTGCATCTGTTCGTTTACGTGTATCTATGCTTTTGCTATGCGCTGGTGGCAAAGGGCCCACACGTCGGCTAACCAGCCGGCAAAGCTACTAGTGAATTGCCAATCAACATCAGCACTGGCACCAGCAACAACCGGTGTAGTCTGTATTGTCGCTACTGAACCATTGGCCTGAATGCTTTTTTCGATCATCATTCGTAGGTTAAAACTACTACCGACGCTCATATGCTGGTGATCACTACGCGCATACATGAAAAACTGGCCGCAGCGAAAGCAACGGCGTCAGAGACACCAACGACGGGAATAGCACAACGTTTCTAAGGACGCCATCGGCCGGACTTGAAACGGATACTTTGTCTTGACTTCAACTATACTACCACGTAAGACTTCTATGAGACGATCAACGTCAGCAGAGGCTGTAATAGTATAGAAGGATTGCGTATACAACGAACGCACAGGTGAGTGCAACCGTAAAAGCAGAGATAGACTTCGCTCTTTTAGCGAGACCCATTGGGCGGTCGACGGTTAACGTTTTCTGTTTTCATATATTATACATACACGTTGAGTATAAGCAATGTACTGTTGAGACTCTTTCGTGCGACGAACGTATACGCTGGCGACGCGATCGGGCACGCACGCCCGCCCGCCCGCCCGCCCGCCGCTCCCAAAGCCATACGGCGCCCAGTTACTGTTCCGTCTTGGCTGATCGCAGCGTTCGTTTTCATAAAGTAGTCCTCTGAGAGTAGCAACGAAGCACTCCTTACCCTTTTCTTTCCGTCACCGTACACGAAACATGTAAGGCCAACAAACTGACGGACAATCAACGAGACAGACGGATACAATGACGTGTTGATGACAACAACGGCGACACTAGCTGACCACGCGCACTCATCGTGCTGATTGTTTTGGCACCCGGCAGCAAGCTGCACATCTAAGCTGAAGTCATCGCATAGCAAATGGTCGATGTAAGCAAACAACTAAGGCAAGAGAGCTAGCAAAAGTTTCCGCTTTTATGACTGATAAATTCTTCTTTTGTACCACAACACCTGTTCTATCTTCATATGTAATCGTAGTGGTAACACTATTGTTATGTGCATCTGAAGCACTCGGCACAACTTTTCCGGAGCAGTCTGACCTGCCACCGGTGGTAAAACACCAATAGTATACGGAGCTAGGTTTGATGGTGAGAATCTTGGCTCTTCGAAATCATCTTCTGGCATTGTCTTGTCTCACTGTTTTTTGCAACTATGTAAGGCGATAGAAGAGAAAATGTAACTGAAGAAAAAATATATATATAAATAATAGACTGCCGGAGTGTGTTATCTGTATACTATGGAGATAGTAAGAAAACATAATGAACATATTTTTTTTACTCTACGCGACGGATATAACATGAACACAGTTGTTCAACTGAAAAAGCCTGTATTCGTATACGTGAAATAGTAGTGCGGTAATTGCAGAAAGAATGACAAAGTAAATAATTAGTAATAACAAAAATTGGTTAAGCTGTTTGCTATTTATAAACAAGTCAAGTTGGGACAACATACCATCACAAGGTACTCCTGTTCTTTCAGTTGGAGCTCGAACAAAGAGAAAAAATTGGTGAAGGCAGATACATCTTTGATGAACTTTTCTTCGTATAGTCCTTCTGACACGCAGGACTTGGGAAACCTTGAAAAAATCTGATGCTAAGGTCACTCCCCCTTACCTTAGAAAGCAGGGTCTATGCTGTTGGTCCGCTAGTTCGTTCCGTGTTTCGAACTTAATATTCCAGCTTCCAGTTGTGGTGCTTTTTCAATCATCGGGCGTTTCTGACCCACCTTATTCGAGATGGTTATCCATACTGGTTTGTCATCAATGTGTGTTCAAAAGTTGGACTTATTTCTGTGACCAATTGTACCAACAAGTTGTCAGGCGCGCCATGTTAATACCGAAATGTTAATACTTACTTGGTGGTTGGCAACGACAACAGAAAAAATAGCTACAGATTTCGATACACAAATAAAATATACAGGCGTGTTAAATTTTAGTTATTTTACTATGGTAATCGTAGCATATGCATATAAAAATATGGAGTTTATTGTAAGTGGATTATCGTATCAAGTGGAGATGGGGCATCTGTAAAAGCGCACCGAGCTGATCGGTGTAATCAGACAACTGCAATCGGTGCATTCGCAGGTTTGTCACCAACCAGTATTACTATCCCACCATATGCCGACTGTCACCCCTCGCATGAAGGGCTTCGTCAGAAGCTGTGGC